TCCAGAGTCTCWGAAAGCCAGTGGGGGAGGCAGGTGCATAAGCAGCTAATTATAGCAGCAGAACAAAGTAAGAGACAACAGAAGTGGAAGCCAGGTGTGTGGGGAACCCAGAGGCAGGACAGCTTGGTTCTTCTCGGAGATCAGAGAATGCTTCATGGAAGAGGATATGCCTAAGAAGAGCTTTAGAGAATGAGTAGGATTTGGCAAGGAGAGTGGATGGGATATTGCAGACAGAGGAACAGCATGAACAAAGGCCTGGAGAGGTTTGATTCAGTGAATAGAGATGTCTGGAGGACTTGGAGCTTTAGGAGATTGGTAAGCACTCCATGCAGCAGTGTTCAGAGGGGTCCGGGGGCATGAAGTCCAAGACAGAGGCCTTGTCTGCCTGGRGTTGGCTCAGTTTCACACCCAGGAATCCTGACTTCAGTATCCTAGCTCCACCTGACTTGTTACCCATCCTGGAAGCAGACTTGGGCTCCTCTGCCCACTGGTAGAATAGCTATAAGGTGATATTCCCTCCACAATATAAAGGAACAGATGAAGGTGCTGGCATTTGAGTTGCAAGGGGCTTATCGTCTGACCACCTTATTTTATAGGTGAGGACTCAGGCCCAGGGCAAGGAAAGGATCACCCAAAGGCATAAGGCTGTTGGGAACATAATGGGAAAGCGTAGTTTGGTTCATAGCAATGCTATTCATGATAGCCAAAAGCCTGAACAGCCTGAATGTCCAGCAGTTGACAAATCTATCAGCTGATAAATGGAAACGGACAAATGGACAGTGGAAAATTATCCAGCCACAAAAAGGAATGAAGTACTGACACGTACTACCAACTTGTTTGAACCTAGAAAACATTCTGCTAAGTGAAAGAAAACAAACAAAATGCTTCCAATTATATGAACGATCCAGGATAGGCAAGTCATAGGAAGCAAATTAGTGGCTGCCAGGGGCTGGGGGAGGGGAGAATGGGAAGTGACTCCTTAATGAGTACATGGGGTTCCCTTTGGGGTTGATAAAAATTTTCTGGAAGTAGATAATGATGGTGGCTGCAACACCATTATAAATGTAGTAAATGCTTCCAAATTGTACACCTTTAAATGGTGAAAATTTTGTGAATTTTATCACAATTAAAATGGGAGTAGTTTGGGATCAGAGAAGATGCCACCAGCTGAATCTCATGTCCATTCTACAAACATATGCCACCTTCCTGTTACAGACCTCCCCACCACAGTCCAGGCAAGGGGAGCACATGCCCCCTCTCAATGCAGGGAAGCCTCATGGTCAAGTGGAGGAGGGCTGCCCTCCTGGGGCAGGGTTCCTCATGTCTAGCCTGTTTYTTGCTCATGTGCCTGTACTGAAGCCTGATTCCCCATCCCATTGACCAGCTGACTTCTCATTAGTGCCAAAGTTTCCATGAATCCTGGGCCTTCAAGCCCTGCKCTTATTATTTGCACTGTTCCAAGAGTTCTTTCCCTTACAACCCATCATCTACCTAAAAACATCCTTTAAGAATCAGCTCCTGGCCAGGCATGGTGGYGCACACCAGAGTCTCAAAAGGCTGAGGCAAGAGGATCATGAGTTCAAAGCCAGCCTCAGCAAAATCGAGGCCCTAAGCAACTCAGCGAGACCCTGTCTCTAAATAAAATATAAAATAGGGATGGGGATGTGGCTCAGTGGTCCAGTGCTCCTGAGTTCAATCCCCAGTACCCCCACCCCCACCCCCCMGAAAAAAGAATCAGGTCCTGTCTGCCCCTTGGAGAAGACTTCCTCTCTCCCTGCTCCCTCACCACAAGCTGATGTGCCCCCCCCCATTTAGTTTAGCATATACATCAACTAAAGCAGGCATCCGGGTGCAGTCATGTTTGCTTGTCTCTCTCCTTGAAAAGTCAGGAGCRGGTAAGCAGTGGCCTGGCTTGCTCACTATTGTTTTCCTGGGACAGCTCTGGGCCTTGCCTGCAGGAGGTGCTCAGCAGATGCTTGTCAAATGAGCACCTCCATCTCTGGGGTTCTCTGGTTCTAAAAGCATCAGTGGGGGGCCAGCCCAGCAAGTTGCTGCCTGTTGATACAGGACAGTTTTCTGCTCCTGTCGCCCCGCTGATAGAAATGGAAGAAGAGAGAGAGAGAGAGAGCCTATAGCAATCCATTATAAGCAGCTATTTCTGCTCCTGGTGGGCAGGAAGGAGGGCAGTGCCCAGAGATGGGGTTTCTTCATCCAGTTTACATGGGCCATCTCTGTTTTGAAAATCTTGCTAAACCCTCCCCTGAATAGCCCAGATGCGCAGCGTTGCCCTAGGGGGTTCCTGGAGTTCTCTACCACGGGGCAGAGCAGCAGGCCCTTGTTCCATTTTTCCCCTGCAGTTGGGAAGTGCTACTCTTTCTGCTTCTCTGATTATGAAATTAGTCATTTTCTAGGAAGCTTATTTATAGAGTCCGCTGCACACAGGCGCACTGAGCTATTCTGAATGCGGCTGGGGGCCTGGTAGGCTTAAGGTGTGAAAGCAGGTRTGAGTCACACCTGGGTCCCTTCCAGAGGATACCCTGGTGACTTTCTGCCCCACCCCCACCCCGTCATGGGTCAGCCCTCCTGGGCGAGCATGATCCTTGGTATAAAGAAAGCTCATGATTGGCAGGTCGGAGATAGGAGTTCTCCAGCCCRATCCCTGAGGCCACAACCTCAGTCTATAGCTTGGTGCAAGTCAGACTCCTGTCCTCTGCCTCRGTTTCCTCCTCTGTAAAGTGAGAGCCCTTCCAGGTTGCGTTTCTCTAACTGTGCTGGTCAGCAGCTGTGGGGGAGGGTTCCAAGTAGCTTAACAAGGACGTGCCACAGAGTATCTCAGATGATGGCTATGTTTGAAGTCCTGAGGTTTTTTTTTAAGAATGTCAGGGAAACCTTGAACGTCCTACTATGAGTTAGGCACTGTGCTCAGCTTTGAAGACACAATGGTAAATAAAACAGCAATGGCGGTCCCTGGCTTCATGTGGCCCATAGTCTAATGTCTGAGACTAATTAATCAAACAATGGCATAAATTAAAATGAATTCCCAAATGTGTCAAGTGCTATGAGTAAAATAAAAATTAAAAATAAAAAAAAAACACTGGGAGAGCTGGAGGAGCTGTCCAGGCAGAGAAAACATGTGCAAAAAAAAAAAAAAAAAAACTGTGAAGGGAAGGACCCTGTCCAGGGTGGCTGCAGTGTAGATGTTGGGGGCAGAAGGACATGCAATAAAGCTGGAGGAATAAATGAGGCCACATCACACAAGAGCTAGTGAACTGTGCCAAAGGATGTTTATATTTGTTCTAAGTATAAAAGGATGCCATGAAAGTATTTTTTTTCAAGGTAGGTTATGTGACAGATTTCAGTTTTGATTCTAGCTCAAGCCTGCCCCATCCAGTTGTGCAAGGTATAAACTGGGCAACCTCTATAGGCCATGTGCATTGGGGCCACGTGGAGAAGGTCTTGGAGGCCAGCCTTAGTGGATGCCAGAGACCATCAAAGAAAGAGAGCCCTTACAGTTTGGCATTTGGCTGGAAGATAGTAGCCCTTTCTCTGCAGGAACATTGGGCCCTGGGACTCAGAGACTCTGCCAGTAGGAGTGAGGAAAAAATAAAACAACACAATGTCAGTTAAGAGAAGAAAATATCAAAATGTGAAGAGTTACCCTTGACCTGGCCTGTCTGCCCTTAATTGTTTAAAATCTGCAGTTGGACCTGAAACAGGCCTCAGGACCAGTGAGAGGCAAGATTCCCTGTCAGGTGGGTAATGAGACATCTGACCTCCTGGGCGTCTTAGGAGCAATGAGCTAGTACATCTGTGTTAAAGATTTTTTTGATTGTCAGTTTCAGGGGGAAAAAAATTCCCCTGGCTTAGCCAGAAGGTAATGACTTATTTGAGGGATCCTGGGGCATCTCATGGTCTTGATGAATATGTTGTCCAATCAAGACTCAGCACAGGAAGGAATGAGACGGCTCTGGGGCCCTTGGAAGCAGGCGTTTGAGGCCCTTCTCTCCAGGGGATGACCACTACCATGATTCAGCACCAGCAGCTGTGGGCTCCAGGCCTCCAGAATACATTACAGTTGTGCAGGAGAGAGGTTCTGGTGGACTCGCCCTGGTTTGTGTATTCAGCCTTGATCAACCCACACCTGCCACAGGCCAGAGACCGGAAGGGCAGACGGGGCCATTGGAGTTCTCCCCTGCATTTCAGGCTGTTGCCAGAGTAGGGGACCCTGTGAGCAGTGCAGGTGCCCTTCAGGTTTGTCAGTTCTGAATCCCCTGCATGGGTCTAACTGATCTCCACCATCTTTTTCCAGCTTCTTGGGTAAAGAAGGAAAGTTAGACTAGGACAATCCTATAAGTTACCTTAATGAGCTAGAAAGAGGATTTTCTAATTTCAGAAAGAGAACATTTAGAAGATGCAAAATACATACATCACTCCTGTTTCTAGCTCTTTCTGGAGAATTCTGCCTGCCGCTTTCCACTGTCAGAGGCCCACGGCTCTTGTACATCTTGGTGAGCTGGACACAGGACTGTGGTTACCAGACCCCTCCTCTTGCTCAGCCCTGGTTCAAAAACCACGGGATTTAGGAAGCAGAACTACAGAGCAATAAGAACATGAGCTTGGAATCCATGATTTCAAACCCAGCTCCACTCTAATGAGCTCTGTGATCCCAGGCAAGTTACTTAATCTCTCTGAACTTGTTTAATGACCCCTGATTCATGGGGTCATGGTGAGAACTCAACATGGTAAAGTTTGTAAAGTGCTTTTGCACAAAGTAAGCCCCCCCATATTAGGGAAGGTGGTGATGATGATGATTCTACATAGAAGACACCTGCACAATTCTGCAGGTGTCTAACCTATTTGATAGATTGGTCTTTCCCTCATCCCTCTGATAAGGTGAGGCTACTTAAGGGACAGAGTGCCGAAGTCTTTTTATCGTTGCTTGGGATTTTGTTCTGATCCAGGCTCAACAGCCTCGTCTCCTATCTTTCATCCTGCTGCAGGAGTGAGAGAGAGAGCCTCAACGCTGATGACTCCGAGGGAGGGGCCCTGGACATGTGCTGCTGTGAGAGGCTGCCGGGTGAGTCTCCCCCGGCATCCAAGTGCCCCAGGGTCTCCCAGCATAGAGAGAGGGCCCCAGCTGACATGGGGCTGGAAGAAAGTCTGGTTAACTGTGATCTTGGTCCAGAGGTACAGTGCAGCTGCTCCAGGGTTTAAATGGGGAGTTTCCTCATCTCTGATGTCTTCCTGACCTGCTAGCTTTTGGAGCTTCTCTAGGCAGCCAGGAAGAGAGGGCAGCTATGGCTGTGCTGAGAGGTGGAGGGCTCAGAGGGACATGTCTGCTGACCAGCGACGTGTTGGGCAGACTTTGACCACATTGGTGGGAGCCTGGCTGTCTGAACCCCGGCCATTGCAGTCACCACGGAGGTGTTACCAAGGCACTCCTGCCCACAGGGTGGCAGCATGCCCTACCAGTTGGAGACCACATACCCAGGTTGTGATGAACAATCTTGGAAGGAATAAAGGGAAAGGGGCAAGGAGAGGATTTTTAAATGTATGTTTCCTTCTTTTTATAAATTTTTTTCTTATAACAAATGTCCATGGTAGCAATACTAGAAAATAAAGACAAGTGAAAAAGAAAGAAAAGAAAATCATCATAAGCAAAGACAGCTTTTCATATCCCTCTTAAAGAAAAAAATTCTTAAGAAATAGCCTTTTGAATTCTAACTGAAGTCCTAAACCAGGAGCTTGTCGGAAACCTCATGGTTGGTAAGAAACCTTAGAATGGAGTCTCCATGTGACACCCTCTAAGATTGATGTCGCAACAACTAGATGTGACACTAAAGCAGTGACTCTTTTAAAAAAGAGAGACAGAGAAAAGGCAGTTATTTTATTCACACCAGTGTTGGTGCCCAGGMTCCCCAAGAAGCTCCTCAGCTATCCTGCCTAGTGAGCCCTTTGGTGCAGTTCACCCCTTGTCCAGTAGGGGAGCCATTGCTCCCTTTGAACAGACCTTTGAGCTAGTCTGGGACAGAGCGTCTCACAGAAGAGTTGTGGGGACCAGAACAGCAAACTTGAAGAAAAGAGTTCTCTGAAGGGATGTCTCAGTATCTGCGGCCATCACATGGAAGGTCAGCAGACCCATTCTGTGTGCCTTAGGAGGCGGATGTAAGCCCAGTACGTAAAAATGAAAGAGAGACCTGTTGGCCCAAGGGATACAGAACTTACTTTCCGTCTCTAAAAGTGGTCCAGTCATAGAACTTAATGATTCCAGAGGAAGAAAATGAGTGTTTCATCACTGGAGTCATTCAAGTATTGAGAAGACAGCATTGGAGAGGAAATTTCCACAGTGGGTGGGAGGTCTGGATGACATCAAAAGTCCCTTTCAACTATTAAACAGTTCTGTGATTCAGAGATGAGTCATAGAATTCAGAGATGATTCTACAATCAGGGATGGCCCCTCTGGCTAGAAAAAAAATCCACAGAAAGTGGGACGTGATGTATAGGAGTCCAGAGAGTAGCCATGGTGTGGAGGAAAAAGCACGGGCTTTGGCATTTAAGTCTGGTTGATCTGTTTACAGGCTGTATGTTCGTGGGCAAGTGACTTAACCTTGCCGGGCCTCCAGTCCTTCATCTGTAAATGGAAACAMCAGCAACATGAATATTTATCCTCACAGAGGTCCTGGGAGGTTAAATATATGTAATCAGTCATTCATTCAACAAATATTTATCTATATCTCAGGCATTATACTAGGTATTTCAGATATAATGGTAGATAAAACAGACGTAGTCCCTGTCTTAACGAAGGTTCATGGGTAAATTTGGCTTTGAGCCATTCCTGAAAAAATGGAATCAATCCTTAGCAGAGAGGTTATAGTATTAAGCACAATATGTTTAATTCCAACTCTCTCCCTTTCCTCCCCCAAAGCCAGGAAACAGTATAGAATGGAAAAGGAATATTAGTCATCTCCACTGAAGCTGGCTCATTACCTACCTTATGCACTGCCCAGGGACGCTGGTATCATTTGCTACCTGTTAAACAGATGAGGGGACCAAGGCCCAGGGAGTTGGGCTGCCTGTTCTAGGTTATTTAGCTGGTATTTGGTAGAGGGAGGATTCAGTCCAGGCAGTCTCTCTCCAGAGCCATTGTGCTGACTGCTGCTTCCTTGTTCTGCTCCAATGTCCCCAAAGAACTACTGTTGTCTTCAGGCACCCTGTGGACTGTGAGGCAAAAAGGGTTTAGAGGGCTTCTCCCCAGGGAGGAGTTGGGAGTAGGTAGGCAATGTCACCATGCCTGTGTCCTTCCTCTGGAAAGCCCTCTCTGCCAGGGTCCAGCTGAGTTTTAAACCTCTCTAGAGTCCCATAATGCCATCCTGACATGGTATTTATTATTGCAATAATTATTTATCTGTCACCTTCGTGGAACTGTGAGTTCTTTGAAGGCAAGCACCTCTCTTTCCACTCTGCGTCCTCCCTGTTCAACATTTATTCACTTATTTCTTCATTTACTATTAATTGAGCACCTACATGTGCCACGCACTGTTACTAACCACTGAAGATTCAACTGTGAACCAAAACGGAGAAAATTCCCCACCTTCACAGGACAACATTTTGTGCTGGGTAAGACTAGGAACTCCAGACCCAATCTTGGCTCTGTCACTTATGGGGAGAATGATCCTGGACAAGCTACTTCCCCTCTCAGGCCCTTACATCTGCAAAATGGCAGGAATAATAATCACTGCTGTCTAGAATTATTGAGAGAATCAGGGACTCTAGAGAGTTTAGAACAGGGCCTGGCACAGAGCAAGCACTGTATAGGCATTTGCTATTAAGGGAAAGATAGACAAAAAGTAAAATAGATAATATGATAAATAGGCATAAGTGCTGTAGAGAAAATTAAAGCCAGGAAGACAGGATGGGAAAGGACTGGGGGTGGCTTGGCATCATAAATTTGTGGACCCAAGCCTGGTATGGTGCAGACTGCCAAAAATGTTTGTGAGGCAGAGCCACTCATCTAAACTGTAACTTGGACGCAAATGGATTGGAGGTACATAGGCTAAGAGAGTCGGGGTGCTGAGCCTTCAGAAAAATGCACGGACAAGGCACGCAGTTGCATAATGATGGTGTAAAATACAGCTCTTGAGTGCTCTCTCCCCCTCCCCACTGTCTTCCCTGCTGGGTAAGAAGAAGGCAGAACCAGGGCCAGCCATGCCTGGGTGACTCATTCATTCCCACACACACCTCCGGGCAGGGCGACATGGCCAGCACTCCCAGCCATGGTCACCCAGACCTGAGCAAGCATCAGGCAGGTTGTATAAGCCTCTCTGATTGCGCTTCCTGGAATAGAAACCCCCTGGGGCATGGCCAGCAATCTAGACAGCCCCGAGCTGCTGCAGAATGGCCTGTCCAGGGATCTCCACATGGGCCCCAAACTCACATTCGCTCTCACTGACACAGCCGCACGCTCACGTACACACGTGGCACATACCCACGCGTAGTCATCCAGGCACGTGGCCTGCCTCTGCCTCACAGAGTCCTGTGGGGGTGGACACGCACCTCCAAAGGACACACACCTGCATGTCTTCCTCTCCTTACACGCTCAGCCCCCTCTGTCACCACCCCATCCGCCTGCTTCCACCTTGCAGGCTTCCTATGATGGACAGCTGTGCTAGCTGTCATTCCAACGTTGAATCTCTSTCTCCCCCCATGACTGACCCCACACCCCGTCTCCCTCGCATGCATGAAGATCAGAAGGCACCCTCCTCTGCTTTGCATTCTCTGTCTTTTCCCAGACCCTCGGTCATACATGATTCCCAGACCTTCAGTCATACACGTTTCCCAGGTACTGTTGCAGGCACTTGGTGTGAACTGGGTTGCCTTCCGTGCCTCATACACCTGCACACACACACATTTCTCTTCTCCCTCACATACACACTCTTCACATGCTCACCTTCCTTTTCTTCTCTTTCACTCTCCCTCACTTGCTCACTTTCCTTGCTCACAGTCACCCAAACACTTGGGTACATTCACACTCACACTCCCCCTCTTCTGTGTGTAGGTGTTCACATTCGCAAGAAAGCAAGCAACACCACTGATGCAGGGGCCTCTGCTCCTCACCTAGCTTGGGACCCATCAGCTTCCTTGGGGATCCAGAGGAGGAAAAGGAGGTAGACAACAGTCGGTGCCAGCCATGGCCAGGACATGGAATGGAGAACCTCATCAAGTCTTGCTTTCAGTGCCTTCAGCGGGCAGACTCAGGACAGGATGGCTCCTGCCATTTGCAGGGACTGGGGCCAGATAAATAACAAGGCTCCTAGTGGTGCTCAATGCTGCACGGCAAAGGCAAAGGCGTCCTTGCATGCATGTGGGTATATCCGTTTATGGGTTCAGGCATGGTCCACCACCCCCTCAATAGCTACCCATCAAATCTAAAAATACCGAAGCAGGAGTCAATGTCTCCCCTCAGAAAGATGTTATGAGGGAAAGACCCCTGCAAGCAAAGGGTCATCTGATCAGGGAACTCTGGAATTCTAGTAGTACAGCCTAGAATGAGGGTATGAACACTAGGTGGTCATAGACTCCAGGTGAGCACATCTCCTGAGCCTGTGAACTTCTGTAGGGAGTGGCATGGCCAGAGAAAGGGGAGTTCAGGGTTCAGGTCTAAAGACAACACTGCTCTGAAGAGCAAGGTACTCCCAGGGCCCTTTACAGCTAGAAGCTGGCTGGAGTTATGTCCTGAGATTTAAGTGAATCACGATCAGTTGGGTTTATGCCAGGTTTTGAGTATATGCTGAAGACCTGAGTAGGGCATTACCCTTTTAGTAGGAACAGCTGATCTCTTGGGCTAATGACTCTAGGCTCCACTCTCCACCTTAAATCATAGTGTTTTGAAGGCTGATTGCAGTCCAGCCCAGCACAGTTCTCAGTCTGTATCATTATGAATATTTAGAGGACTCTCCTTGAGTGCAGGGATAAGGTCTCGATCTCAGTAAGAGGCCTCCACCCCATCCCGGATGCCACTTTATGAAGTAAATGAAGACCTGGAGGAGGACAGCTTTGCTCTCCTGATCCCACAGTGAG